AATATCTAAGACGTTTTTCCATGCGTGGAGATTGGGTGTGATTATAACCATAGAGAAATGTGTTAAAGTCACGTAAATATAATTATTTTTTTCGTAAATAGTTTGTTATGTTATGATATTAAAAATATTAATTTATAAATTAATTTTAATCTATTAAATAATAAATATTAGTAGTTTTATTATCTATCAACTTATAGTTATAGTTGTTATGTTTACTTCAACTATTCAAGGCATAATTGGGGACAAGGTCCTTAATTAAAATTTCAATCCCAATCAATTTATCTTTTATTTAGATAGATTATATTAAAATGCTGATTAACTGCAAAATCTTGAGTTTGAATTTAGTTGTGATATTTATATAGGTATTAAATTATTTACTTTTATATTTTTACATATTTTATGAGTATAATACCTCAACCAGATTATTTTATTTAGATTGGTTTTATAACTCTTATGGTTTTCATATATCAATAAAATTATATTTCTCATTAAAAAACAAAAAAAGGGACAATGTGCTAATGTGGACCAAGTCGAGGGGTTTAACCGTGGATTTTTTTCATATAATTTCACTTCTTAAGATGGATCTCGCAGCTTCTAGATCGAAGATAAAGAGCTAGAGAATGATTCGGGTATGGTTATGGCCACACGTTATAATAGTGAGGTCACATAAGTTTGTTTAATATAATTGTTAAAAATAATTAATAGTTGATAAAATAATTAATATTTATTATTTAATTAATTAAAATTAATTTATAAATTGATATCTTTAAATATTATAATTAATTATTTAAAAAAATATAAATTAATAAAACATCGATCAATCAAATTATACAATATTCATAGTCTTAACAAATTATTGTATGATTATTTCCACACCCCGTCTGATTCTATCCTCAAAATTTTTTACTCAATTCAACAGTCAACATATGTAGTTGTTTGTCTGCAGAAGATAGTTCTCCACTGCTGCAACCGTAGCCCACTTATTTAATTTCATAAACTTTGTCGACTATGAATATCATTATTTGGTGGGAAAGGTATTGACAGCGCATGCAATTGGTGGGAAAGATATACATTTCTCCTTTACCAAAAAAAAGAAAAAGAAAAAAAGATATACATTTCTCATATATAGATCATCATCATTCCCCCATAAATATTGGTGTCTGTTGATCTTTCCCAAATGCCAAGGAAAAATGGAGAATTTTCCCACCAAATCCTTGTTCTATCCTTTTTGCTTCTGTATTGTCTTTAGTAGGATGATGCTGGTTCAAGTGGCTACGGTTCGGAACAATGCAGTGGTGAAGATTCCAGTAAATGTAGGTGTGGTTCTTGACTTGGACTCGCTGGTTAGGAAGGACAACTGGTGGTGGAGACAAATCTCAATAAATACGTTGAATTCGAAAAAGATCGAGGAATGTATGTGAAACTTAAATCCCATATGGATAAAACATTAAATAGATGTTGAGCATATAAATTAATACTCGTTAATTTTTATTTATGTATTTTAAAACTATAAACCCTGATAATATGAAGTAGATAGTATTTATATTGGGCTTCCGCCACTTTTTTGTTTATACTTATAACATTTTTTCTGGTAAAACAAAAAAACAAAAAAATTACCACTTATTTAAGGAGATTTTAACTTATATTCTTAGAATACAAATTAAGAGTATTTTTTATTATAAACATACATAAAAATTATAAAAATTAAGATTAATTTTAGTGTCAATACTAAGTGGATAAATTTAATTAAATATTTAATAAATTAAATATTAATTTTTTTTTTAATATAAATTTATGACAAAACAATATATTTAATACAATGTTAACATGTGTTCTAAAAATACAAATTAAATAAAAATCATTTTGTTTAATTTCATAAAAGATCTAATTTACGGCCTTAGCACATGTTGGTGAGTAATAAATTAATGTAGTGTCGGCCGTTAAAATGACAACGTTTTCAACAAAGAGTGTGTTAATTTTTTGTGATGACTGGAATGCCCCTATTTAAATAAAAAAGAAAAAGTAAAATTTTTATTAGAAAATCTCTTTCCTCTAGCTTCCTCCAGTATGGAGACTGCTCATTTTCCCTTCTCTCTCCTCTTCCCCATCACGGCCCACCGCCCCATCTCCTCCTCCCCAATATTTACATTTCAAGCTCCACCTCCATAATTCTCAACAAAATTTCAATCCAGATTAGCCCATCTTAACCACACCCCATTGTTGATTGCAAATATTTTACCAACAGAGTAAAATGAATATTAGAAACAAGAACCAAAACACAACAGTGTAAAAGCCAAGAACCATCTTCTTGCACGGCTTTGATCAAGACTTCGAGAGAAATTGAGGCAAAATACATTGATTAACTCTCTGATTTATTTAAGGTGAAAGTCGTACAGTCAGTCCGCTCCTTCAAAATATCAATTGAGAATTTGATTGAGGATTACGATTTAATCAGAAGGCTTGACAAAAAAAGAACGAATTTTCATTGTTTTTGTTGGATTCGGGAGGAATTCTCCCTCTCTAAGGAAGAAAATAAAGAAATTGCTTACGGTTGTGAACGAAGCTGGTGCGAGTGTGATTCAACGGGCAAAGGAATTGAGATGAAAATAAGGATGAGATGAACAGCACAAGTTGCAGAGGGAGAGGGAAGCAAGAGAGATTGTGAGGTGAACTAAATTGGGGCGATGATTAAGTTTAAGAATATCTAATCTTGAATAGGGGTACTTTTGTCGATGAAAAAATGAATAAAAGTATTCATTAAAATTTTGTTAAATTCAAGAAAAGAATTATTTTTTTTCAAACCAAGAGAATTTTTAAAAAAAGAGAACACTTGAAGACATCTTAGTGGGTTAATGACCACTATTCTCTTATTACTAGAGGTGGGCAAAAATCGATTTCAGTTAAAATTGAAATTGGTTTTAAAATAATCAATTTTTTTTTAAAAGAAATTTGAGAATCAAAATTGAACTAAAATTTTTATAAATCGATTAATTTGATTATTAACAAAATCAGTTTGGTTTTGATTTTTACTAAATAAATATTAATTAATTATTTTGTTAATAATAAATTATATTTTATTTCATATTTTATTATATTTATCTTAATTTTGATTTTTAAAAAACTTATTTTTAATTTTTAGTTTTTAAAAAATTTAACCAAAACCGAATTAAAATTTATTCAATTAACATTAAAATCAAAATAGTAAAAACTAAAAACCTTTTAAATCGAACCAAATTCATTTTTGGATTCAATTTCCAAGTAATCCATCGGTTCAGTTTTCAAATGCCCAGTCCTATTTATTAGGAACTTCGGAAAAAAAAAAAACACTTGAATGGAGTTTAAGATATTATTATTTTGACAGTGATATCCATTAAATCACTTGGTATCCGACGAAAATATGTTATTTAATAACTCTTGACTTGTTTAATGACTCTTGAATTATGCACCAAGGAACGGTTCAGAAAAGTCTTTTAATAAATTATGTCGACTTTTGAATATCATTACTCGGGGGGAATGGGATTGATGGCTGTTGGCTAATGACAAGCGCATGCAATTGAAAATTCCCTGAAAATCGATGCGTCTTCTGACTCGGAATAAGTTTTAGAACTGCACATGAGGACAAAGCTAGCATATTCTGCTAAGACTGGGATACCTTCGTCGACAGGATTCCGGAAATAAGACAACATTTCTCTTTCAAAATTAGAAACAAGTTTGTTATTACACAATGCAACACATATACTGATAATTTTTAAGTCTCCTCATTTACTAATAAAATATGTAAATTAATATATATTTATTTATTTTATATTATACAATTGTTATAAAAATTTATTATTAATAAATATTGTAAATAAATCATTTAAAAAAATAAATTTTAATTTATTTAGCTTATGTATATACAGATTTTATACTCCTAAAAGTTATACCACAAACAAAAGTATTATGGTCACACTTTTTTTACTTAATTGACCATTACCCTTTATCAAATATACTTTTATATCCCATACCAATTGAGAAAAAAAAAAATTTTTTTATCAGCAAAATGAATAGAATGATATTAATACAGAGTACAAGGGGTACTCTAACCCATATACACAAACAAGGCTACAAACTGCAGAATTGAGACTTACAAAACTAGGCCAACATCCGGTACCAAGGCCACATACTTATGCTGGACAATGACCCACCTAGCAGCCCCATTATATCCTTCCCTTTTGGTTCAAATGGAACACCCGCACCAACCTTCTATTATTTCTTATTTCTGCAGCAATTTCCAGCGGGTTGAGCTTCTAGTCCCAAAATGAGAAAACACATCCCTACACTTTATTTTTTACCCAGAAAAAAATCTTGGCCTGAATCATTTCCAATAACTCATCCCTTGATACCCCATTTCCCTTAAAAACTCTACAATTCCTCCAAAACCATATATACCATGCAGTAACAAGAAAGATGCAAGCTCCCAATTCCTTCCCTATCACCCTACCCAACCCATATGCAAACAAATCCATTAATCCCCCCACTCTATTCGGCACTACAACATCCATACCCCACCAATGCAACACCTTAGTCCAAATTAACCAAGCTTGTGTACATGTACAAAAAACATGATTACACTCTTCCTCTTCCTCTTCCTCATCACACAACCCACACCTTAATCCCCCATCCAGACCCACACCTCTTTTTTGTAAGCTAGACTTAGTGGGAAGACGCTCAAGACATAATCTCCACCCAAAAAAACTAACTTTTGAAGGCACTAACCGACACCAAATTAACTTACATAATTGTTCATTAAGAATGTAATTCGTTGATTCCAAAAACGCATACGCGTGTCTCACCATAAACCTGCCATCAAGAACATGCACCCACTGCCAACAATCCTTAACACCTTCCTTAAGTTGAACTGTACCCAGGATCTCCCACAACAGCACCTCCTCATCCTTTTCTCTCCCCCGTCTGCCTCTTCTCCAATCAATCCTCCATCGCCAACTACCTTCCTCCCAAACCCCCATCTCACTAACTAAACCATCCTTATGAATCGCCAATTGAAAAAGCCTAGGACACAGATCCTTCAAAGTTTTCTCCTCCACCCAAACCGCTTTCCAAAAATCCACCCTACTTCCATCTCCCACCCCCCATCTAAAACCCTTCACCAGCATATTCTTTAAACCATCTGATCGCAACCCTATACTCAGAACATCCCTCCACAACCTAAACACCCTAACTGTATCCACTGCTGTAATATCCATTTCCTCCCTTCCACCATAATACCTCTCCTATACCACCTGTTTCCACAAACCCTCCGCTCCATCCCCTAATCTAAACCACCACTTCCCTAACAATGCCCAATTTTTTCAACGCAAATCTGGCACTCCTAGACCTCCTTTCTTCTTACTAGTACACACATAATCTCACTTAACCCATGAAATCTTCCTCTTTAAATCCAACCCTCCCCACAAAAAAGCCCTTTGAATACTAATCAACCTTTTTACTACCCAATTTGGCATTAAAAACAAAGATATATAAAAAATGGGAGTTGTAGAGAGTACCGAGTTAAGTAAAGTGATGCGACCACCAGCAGACTTCCAGACCGCTAACTTGGCTTGAAATTTATGCAGAACTGGATCCCACATCTTCTTGCTCCCACTCTTCCCACCAACCGGCATACCCAGATACATAAAGGGTGTTTCCCCAACACCACAATGAAGAGCACTTGCTGCCCCTTTAATCCACCGAGGAGTCACGTTGAAACCAAAGACACTACTTTTGCCAAAATTTATCCGCAACCCAGATATCAACTCAAACCATCTCAAAATGGTTTTAACCGTAAAACTACACTCACTATTAGCTTTCCCCAATATCACTGTATCATCTGCAAATTGAAGCAAAGAAATAGTTAAGCCATTGTTGCCCACCGTGATACCTTGTAGCAATCCCTCCTCTTCTGCTTTTTTGACTAGTCCATGCAGACCCTCAGCCACCATGAGAAAAAGGAACAGAGATAAAGGATCCCTCTGTCGTAATCTTTTTCCCATCGCAAACTCCTCTGTTGGGCTTCCATTAACCAAAACTGAGACTCGAGCAGTTGAAAGGCATTCTCGGATCCACCCTCGCCACTTCCCGCCAAAACCAAATATGCTCATCATCCAATCTAAATACGACCAATCTATGCAGTCGTACGCCTTTTCGAAATCAGCTTTGAAGATAAAAGCTTGTTGCTTACGCTGCTTGACCTCTTCCACCACCTCATTTAAGACTAGCACACTGTCAACAAGTTGACGGCCTCCCAAAAACACAGATTGAGAATCACTAATGATCTCCGACATTACCACCCACAGCCTATTAGCCAACACTTTTGCTCGTAACTTATATACACAACCAACTAAGCTAATAGGTCTAAAATCTTTTAGTTCCATGGGGTTCATCTTCTTAGGAATTAACGTTAAGAAGGAAGAGTTTAACCCTTTTACTAACCTGCCATTCTGGTGAAATTCCTCAAAAAAATCTCACAAAGTCCTTCTTCATACATCCCCAAGCATACTTGATAAAACTAAAATTGTATCCATCCGGCCCCGCTGCTTTTGTTCCCTCACAACTCTTTAACCCTTCCTCAATTTCTTCTGTCAAGAATGGTCTTTCTAACCATGCTATCATCTCTTTAGAGATCCTTTTAAACCCAATTCCAATGGGATTTGGACGATTTCGTGAGTCATTGGCAAATGCCCTTCGAAAACACCCAACCACCTCTCTCTTTATCACCTCTGGCTCTTCAATCCACCTGCCATCACACGAAATGCCAACAATGTTGTTATGAGCCTTTCTCCCATTTGCAATTTGGTGGAAGTATCTCAAATTTGCATCCCCCCATTTTGCCCAATTGGATCTTGATTTTTGCTTCCAAATGGATTCCCTCTTCCTCATAATATCCCAAAGTGCATGGAATCCTCGCCGTCATTCTTCTAATTCCTCCTCCTCTAATGCCACCTCCTCATTCTTCATATCAAGTTTTGCTACAGTGCTCGCTGCATGTTGAAACTGAGTTTCTACATCCCCGAAGACATCCTGATTCCAACTCTTCAGAAATTGCTTCAACATTTTTAATTTCTGAAGACACTTGTAACCTGCAAATCCATCCATCACCAATTCATTTCATTTGTCTTCAACAACTTTTCTAAATTCCGAATGATGTTGCCATGCATCCAGAACTCGAAACGGTTTGGGTCCCCAATCTGTTGTCCTTGTTTTCAAAACAATCGCATAGTGGTCCGATATATTTCTTTTCAGCCCTCGTTGCACCCATTCACCACCCATATTGCTCATTTCCATAGTCATCAATATCCTGTCTAATCTACTCATTGCTGTGCCATCTGGTTTGTACCATGTAAACTTTTGATTTATCAACTTGCTATCAACTAGCCTTGCCGTTTCTATAAAAAGATCAAAATCCTTCATATCGGCACTCTCCCTTGTTTTTCCCCTTCTTTCGTCCATACTCCTAACAGCATTGAAATCCCCTGCAAGCATCCACCGACCACCCTCCTCAACAATCCTCTGCCTCAACTCATCCCATAATGCAACTTTTTTCTTCCTTTCATTCGGTGCATAAATATTCACAAAAAAGCATACCTCCTTTTTTACCCCCCATTGCCCTTTTATCCCCAAATACCCATCTCCTGTAAACTCCCCCAACTTAACAAATAATGATTTATCCCACATACAGATCAAGCCTCTTGAAGCACCAACCGAACTTTTCATATTCCAATCAAAATCATCTGAGTACCATAGCTTTTTACACAAACCCTCTTCAACCCCTTCTAATTTGGTCTCTTGTAGGAATAGCAAATTTGGTTTTTCTACCCGTACTAGCCTATCCAACTCCCTCCTCTTCACCATATTCCCTAAACCCCTAACATTAAAAGATAAAACCTTCATAAACAAAAATGCAGACCCTCACCCACACTACCCCACAGCTACCCAAATACCTTACCCTTTTTGTCTCCTGCTTTCATCTCTCTCTTCCAGCTTCAACAGCCGTGACTCCACCTCCTCTTCGGTACCTTCGAATTGCATACCAAGCCTTCTTTCAATGCACATCATTTTCTTTACCTCTTGCATATTAATCTCCCGTTGAATAACTTGATTCCGATGAGCAATACAACCATCTGAAAGAGATTCTCCTTCCCCCTGTTGCTCCGGCTTACTCGAACCCACTGGCATTAGCTTAACTTTCTAGCGCCTCAGTCTTCGCTGCTTTGTCTGTCTCGTCACCCACTCTGCTTTCTCATTCCAGATTTCTGCAATTTCTTCTAGATAACACTCTACCACTTTTCTATGTCTTTTTCCTGACAAGTCTGTTGCCTTTCTCTCCTTATCACGTGATGCCCTTTTCTGCTTTGAGTCCTTGGGCATCTTACTAAAAGAACTTTCTACATCATCTTCTCCTGACCCATTAACTTCCACAAGCCCATTAACGTCCACAACCCCATTGTCCTTCAACCCCTTATAATCCTCTAGCAGCCCGTTAGCACTCCTCAACCCATTTTCATTACAACCGTCATAACCCCCATCTCCACCAGTTAGCGACTCACCATCAATTTGCTTGCTTTTTGAATTCAAAATTCCATTCTCTTGTAACAGCTCCAATTCAATGTTATCTTCATCTTCGTCGAGAATGTCGTCATCAATAAATTTTTGATCCTCACTATCAATATGCGTGGAGGAATATTCCGATGATGTCCTCGTCGTACTCTGTCGTTCACCCTTCGATAACCACCAATCTGGGTCTGATCTCCATCCATCCTCCGTTACCTATATCTCATGCAGTTGGCCAGCTACCTTCAATTTCAACACATTCGAAATACTGTGTGTAGCTGAACAAAGAACCAGTACCCTTCCTTCACACAAAACAGCTTTGGATTTGGTATCCTCATGCACCTTCACCACCTCCCCGAATGTTCATGCATTCCTATCATTTCAAAACATCTATCAGTCCATGCATTCAACAAAATACCAGATATCCGCAGCCACACCAGTCGACTACTTCGTGTTGGTGTTAACGCCCATCGTAATATAGATTCAAACCATGTATCAAATAACTCTCTGTTTTGTGCCATATACTCACCAAGGTAGCTCTTCACCTTTTCAAGAAGTAGCATTGAACTTCCCCCTAATGGAAATAATGCAAGCAACCCTCCATCCACATCCATTCTCTCTTGGATACCTATCACTGGCATTAAAGAATTCAAAACAGCAACCATGCCCCATTCCAGCCATTGAATCTCTTCCTTTGTAGACTCAAACGCAATAATACAATCTCTATTTGCACCCATACACTTTTCCTGTACATTTTCCTTTGCACCCAATCCCTCTCCCTTGTGCTCGGCACCCAATACCCTCTGCTCTATATCCTGATCCTCATGTCTCTTAACCGATACCTTCTCCATTGCTATCATACCTTGTGGCTGTTGTTTTTCAACCCACTTATTCTTCCCCAAAACTGCCTGTGCATAAGAGTGGCCTGGTTGCACCAATCTATTCGTTCTCCGCAACCCAGTTTCTGCACCTGATGCCTTCGTCTGCTCAGGAAGCCTCTTCTGTGGTCTATCAGCCATCTTCACCCTCAACTTATACAGCCCAAACCAGATCTCATTCAGCTTTTTCACCATCTGTGCCTCATTTTGCACTCTTACCATTCGAACAAACCCAAATATGTTCCCCCACTTGCCCCTCTTGTTCGGCAGAAAAACATCCACTACCTTGTCGTATCGTTGAAAGCAAAACCAGAGACTCTTTGCTGTCTCCGTCTTGGGGAAATTATAAAAATGTCTGAACCTTCCCTGATAACTGAGTACTGAAGCCTGGAATCCGCCGCCTGGATCCTTGCCGTCGCTGGAAGTTGCTGTCTGCCTTGGCTGCCGCATCCCTCTCTCGAACCCTAGTAGTCTCCATTTTTAATTATCCAATTGAAAAAAAAAATAGAGGCTATAATAGTAAAAGAATGCATTTATATCACCCTTAACTTTTAAGATGATAAAATATTTGAAAAATTACAATCTAGTACTTTACAGAAACTTTAACTATATATTTCAATTGAAGGAAATAAAGGGGAAGGGAGGGAAGGATAAGTTAAAAGAAAAAATAAAATAAAGGAAATTATTCCCCTCTCTTCTAATTCTTTTGATAACTAAAAAGTTTTCCCCCTTCTTTCTCCCCATTTCCCTCAACTCAAACATATTGTAAATTTATAGCCGTTTAGCAAAGGTTTTCTAAAATTGCCTTTTTAGTAAAAAATTTAAAATTCTTTCTCTTGTATTTGAAATATTCTAGAGGGAATGTATGTGTTTTAGCAAAATAGTGCTAAAATAGCAAGTTTTAGAAGAAGCAATGGATTGTTGCTTTTGCAAAACTTGCTATTTTAGCACTATTTTGCTAAAAAGCAAACATTCCCTCCAAAAATTCTCAAACATAAAAAACAAAGATTTTGAAGTTTTTGCTGAAAAAGCAACCCTAGAAAACACTCTACCAAACGGTCTCTCAATCTTGAACATAATCCTCAAAGTCATTTTTCATATGTGGTTTTCAAAAAATTTTCCAAAAATTGTGAGAAATTAATTACTCGCATAAAGTATTTAGAACGTTTTTTCATGGGTGAAAACTGGAAAGTGGTTATGGTTATGGTCATGATCACACATAAAAGTGTTAGGCCACACAAATATAGTTTTTTTTCATAAATAACTAGTTATGATATTTAAAAATATTAATTTTGTGACACCCTTAGATAAATTCAAAACCTTCAAATCCACCCCTCAAAAAGGTGGGTAAGGATAAATTCACCCCTAAAAAAATGCGGGAGCAAATTACCCCTCCAAATTATAAATCAAGACAAATCACCCATTTTTTAATGGATTCTATTTGCCACGTATGCATTTTTTAACAAAAAAGTTGACAAAATCCATTAAAAATGGGTGATTTGTCTTGATTTATAATTTGGATGGGCAATTTGTCCTTACATTTTTTTGAAAGATGAATATGTCCCTGCCCACGTTTTTTAGGGGTGGATTTAGGGGTTTTACCCTTAGATAATAAATCCCATATCAACAAAGCATAGGAGAGATGCTGGGTATATAGGTCAACTACCCATTAACTCCTATTTATGTATTTTAAAATTGTGAGGCTCAATGGGCTGAAGTAGACAATATTGATAACAGACTGGGTCATTACATATGGTATCAGAGTCACTTTGCATGTCCTCTTGAATGGTGGTGGGATAAATCTCAAAGAGTATGCTGAGTCCCGAAATCGGGTGTATGTGACACCCCTAGGCAAGTCTCACATTGACAAAGCATGAGAGAAATGCTGGGCATATAGGTCAAACACACGTTAACCCCTATTGATGCATTTTAAAACCATGAGACTCGATGGACCAAAGCAAATAATATCAATAGCAGATGAGGTTATTACATATGATATCAAAGTCACTCTGAATGTGCTCTTGAATAGTGGTAGAGCAAACCTCAATTATAACATTGAGTCTTGAAATGGGGGTGTATGCGACACCCCTAAGCAAATCCCACACTGACAAAGCATGGGGGAGATATTAGTTGTATAGGTCAAACATTCGTTAACTACTATTGATGCATTTTAAAACCTAAGTCTATATGGGATGAAGCGAATAGAATCATACTGGGCTAGGTCATTGCAAATTTATAAATTGATTTTAATTTGTTAAGTAATAAATATTAGCAATCTTATCATCTATCAACTAATGGTTATAGTTATAATATGTTTCTAACAGTGAAAACAATCTCTCTCCTTTTTTCCATAGCTGTCATCCTCTCTTCTTTTTCTTTTCTCACCAACAACCACCTCTTTCCATTTCAATGGCTAGGGAGGATGAATGAAGTGGGAGAGTTTCTCCCGCTTTGAGGGTTTTCTCTCCTTTGTGGAAGTTTATCCCCTTTTTTGGGGTTCTTGCTTAGGCTTTTTTGGTGTTCTTGCTTAGGCTTTTTTGGTGGTTTTTGTTAGGTTTTGCTCTAGATTGAACAAAACAATAGTATGGTGGTGACTCTTCTTTGGGTTAATTCAAGCATAGCTTAGGTAGTCCCTAAATAAGACTCCAACTCTCCTCTTGGCTAGTGCGAATCCTCATTCGGCATTCAATGGGTTGGGGATTATTTTTTGCCGGATTACATATTCTCCCCTAAAATTTGACATAGAAATTGGAAATGTCTGGTAGTTTAGGATGCTAATGGGGACGCTATTTCTACTTTTGTAACTTTCTTTATGCCCTATGGCGATTGCATGATAATCTCTAAATATTAGTAGCTCTCTAAACTTGATTGTTCATAATTTTCATGGGTATAGTTTTTGGCTATATCTAGTAC